AATTTAGTTATATTTTCATACTGTTATGTGACAACAACATGGTGTAACTTTGTTATATAATGTACTGTCAAACAGGCCTTGTCGACTTTTGTTGAAGATGTCAATAGAAACCAGGGAATGTTTGTGGAGTAAGCAAAAGCAACAGGGTATGAGATTGCAGTAAGATGAGAGAGGGAAAACAAGATGTGTTACAGTGCTGGAAAAACATGCCGCCACTCCTTAAACAAATCATTTCTGCTGGTCAATAGAAATACTGGTATCTGCGCACCTTTAATGCCACGGGTAGAACAAGTAGTACTGAACGTTGGATTCTTCAGCTAAACAATCAACTGCTCTGATCACCTGAGGGCTACATGAGGGGCGGAGCTCCCAGTGATGGTGCAGAGGTAGGGTTTGGTGTTGAACTGGGAGATGATCAGCTGGATGGTGACCTGAGACGTCTCATATTGGAAAGGACTAAAAGTCACAGTGATCTTCTCCTCACCATTAGCTGGTATCACACCTGGGAGAGCAATGAGAGGATGACAGGGATGAATGGGTGTGTGTATTTGGCTTGCCTGGGTCAGTGAAACAAAGTATTTTGTTTCACTATAATGGATGAATGGTGTTGTTGTTGGGACATTGCCAGGAAAAGGCCTTTCTAAAATAAGAAACTCATTTGTATCTCTTCTCCTCATTTCAGATCTGTACCGCTGATAAAACTGCAGCCGTAATTCACATCCTAAGTGCTTGGTTCCGCCATGTGTTATGATGCTTTCCAGACCATGAATACTGCTTAGTGTCAGCGTGTGGAAACTGGAGGCATCATTCAGTTTGGCAGTGACTTGTTTAATAAACAACACTGGTGCGCTGTTTTGAGAAAACACAGCACCTGCTCTCCTGGTGGGTTGTATTCTTAATCTGGGAGGCTAAATGAGAACTATCAATGGAAAAACTACTTATCACAGTTACATGGGGAGCAAACAAGAAGCAGAATGCCAACATGTTCTCTTAAAGACACAAAATGTACTGTAGAAATCATGTTTCACTTGCCCATACCTGTAACGGGATGGATGGAGAAAGCGTCATGTGGCTGAATAACATGCACCTGAAACTTAAAGTCAACGGGGCAGCTGCATCTCAGAGGAATAGCATGGCAAACACTGGAGACAGGTGGAAAAACACAGAGATGAGAGATCTGTTTTTTATTTGACACCAACAGTTGAACGGAGGCATGGTTGGCTGTATGGAAGAATACAAAGAGACAGGCAGGCCCTCGGGCAGATGGGAGGTCAAAAAGCAGTCCATCACAGATCCTGACACACAAGCTGTACGTCATACACACACACACACACACACACACACACACACACACACACACACACACACACACACCTCTGTCCAAGTGGTACGGCTGATAGGTCGATATGAGAGGGGATGTGCAGGTCATCGATGACAGGGTAAGCATGAACTGGAATTAACAGGTTCTCTTCCTCCTTGGATAGGGTGTGGATGGGTTGAATGAACAAGACAAGAGAAAACATGAGAGAGGAAATATAGATAAGACTGGACTCAAAGTAAATATGGGAGCGTGTCCTCAAAACAGACAAAGCAACTATGAATAGTTACAGGTTTGCTGAGCCGTATGTCTTTCCAGTAAGTGTTAATGTCAAAGCAAAGTCCTCTGAGAATCATTTGAGATGAACACTAAACACTAAATGCTTAAAATATAAAGATTTGAGTGTAAAACAAACAGCAGTACAGTATCCACAGTGTCAGACCCTAACCTTGCAGTGAACCCGTACGCAGTCGTAGAAGTAACGCCACTCGTCGGGACAGAACCTGACCTTCACTGTGTAGGCGAGACCCGGGATGAGTCGATACTTGAAGTGAAACAGATGGTTGAGTCATCAGAAACAACCCTGATTGCAGTAATGGGCAAGTGGAGTTATTATATTACATTCAGGTCAACAATTAGCGATGAAAAAAAAAAACATACCTTTTTGATATAAGTTGTTTGAAAGTGCTTGGTTTGGGTGGGAATGATATCAATATTCATGACTTCAGATGAGATGTTGATTAGTTTCTGAGGGAAAGAGGGAGAGGAGAGAACAGGAATATTCATTTCCATCCAATCATGTGCACTTGAGGAAACCATTTCCATATTCTGGGTGTTTACATCCAGTCTACAGTGCTTCATCATGCATGTATGGGGTGAAATCAGTGTCCATTCAATGAGATCAAATTCAGCCAGATGAGATCATTTATGACGGGATGGAATTTTTACAGTTATTTCAATACTTCACTGCAATGTCTTCACCATTTCACCAAACATTGACTGAAAAAGACACAATATTGCACCCACACAGCCCAAACAGACGCCTTGGCACAACACCAAGGTCTACTTTCTGCTTAAAGCTCTGCTGCATTGCTGCGGTGACAAACAATAACTCAAGCTTGGAAAAACCTTCCCATCAAGCACACTGATAATACACTTTTAAATAACTCACAATCAGTAAATTAGCGGTCCAATGTAGGCTGTGAATGGGACAGTAAAAATGAGTGGTATTTTCCTCACCAGGATCTTTGTGTAATCCTTCCCCAGCTCAAACCCACTGAAGTGAAGCTCAGGAGGCTCCGCTTGGATCAGAGTGTTGCTTTTCAGTTTGGCATAGATTTCTATAAGGTGCAAAAAAACAATTACTGAAGTGTAATGAGCTTTCCACATCTGCAAAGAGGTTTTCCAGACATTTAAAACATCAAACCCTACAGTAGGTTACTGTAAGGTTAAATAGCTGGTATCAGTACAACAACAGCATTAACGCATTCCATCAGAGAGTTTTAGAGATTACGTCTCATACGCACTTGATTCCAGTAGATGATTTGGAACGCTGGCTCTGCTCCTGCTATCCTCCACCAGCTGGCTCAGAGGCAGAGGGGTCCCCCTCCTGAGGGGCTCTGACAGTATCTGCGGGGTAGAGAGGGCCACCTCCATCCTGGCAAAAGGTCAGCGCTGGCTGCTCATGAGAGAAATGACAGCAGGCTGGAGGACAGACAAGGAGACAGCGGTATGTTGGGAAATATTCTGATGGTAAACCTATGAATTTATAATGTGAGTACAAGAGGGGAGACAGGGAAGGACAGCGGGTTATTATGTGGACAATTTGTAGTCACTTAGGTGAATTAGCTTGCATGGAGAGTTACTGTCATACAGTACATGCACTTGCAGCATCCATATCTGTAATGTGCATTAAGAGAGGCTTTTTACATTTTATAACGTTGCAGCCTTGTGTTAAAAATGTTTGAATTCATCCCCCCCCCCACATCCAACTGCACTCAACCTTATACTGCACAAAAAAACCCTAGCTTTTTATTACAAAGAAAAACTGAAATATCACAGTAGCGTAGGTATTCAGCACTTAGGTGAAGCCCCGTTGGCAGCTATTTCAGCCTTGAGACTTCTCGGGTGTGATGCAACAAGCCTTGCACACCTGGATTTGGGGATTTTCTCTTCTCTGAAGTTCCTCTCAACTTGTCAAGTTGGATGGGGACCATCTGTAGAGCCATTTGCAGGTCTCCAGAGACGTTTTGTGAGGTTCAAATGTGAGCTCTGGCTGTGCTACTCAAGGATATTCGCTCCTGCATACTCTTTTCTCACAGCAGGCAACATTTTGTCACAGTAGGAAGCGCACAGGTGTTGCTGATAACACTAATGATGGCTCAAGTGAACCTGAAATCAAAGCAGCTAAATGGAATTCAGTTATCATTCACCATTTACACATGTGCGTCTCCTACTGTGACTTGTTTAAACCTCTAACATAGAAAAGGCCTGTTGTCTTGGCTGTTTGCTTGGGGTCACTGTCCTGTTGGAAGGCGACCCTTTGACTCACCCTGATGTCCTGAGCGCTCTGGACCAGGTTTTCAATCGGCTTCCACCGAACCCTGACCAGTCTCCGCCCCCAGTCCCTGCCACTGCCACCAGTCAATCAACTCAATTAACCACAGGTGCTCTCCAATCAAGGTGTAGAAACATCTCGAAGACAATCAAGAGGAATGGGAGGCACCTGGCTATGTCACTCTGGGGTATTTAGTGTAGTTAAATAAAGAAAAAAATAATATAAACGATTGTAGCATCATAAAATGTGAAAAAGGTGAATGGGGTCTGACTACTTCCTGGATGCAGAAATTCCGCTGCCTGTATTCAACTACGTAATTCTAAAAGAAAAAAAAGTAATAAAAAGTAACACATTTTACATATTTACATCGTGCTAGATATAGGCAGCTGACTTTAAATTCATTTTTAAGAAGACGAAGACACAGAAAGACAGTCTTCTTATTTATGTTAACAGCTGGCTCTAATTATCTTATGTGCGACTTTAGCAAGGAGGCTAACAATAGCAACACCGCTAATGCTAACCTACCTATTAGCTTAATTTGACGATGCTACCGTCACTTAATTATATGCTTCATAGCAAGTTTTATCATCTTCTCATTAAAAAAAACTTATGAACAATTAAACTTCAGAACTTACTTAAGTTTTAGACAACGGGTTGTGTTTGTTGTTCAGATAAAACAGCCATATTCCTTCTTTATTCGTGGCAGAAACATTTCCTTTAACTCCTACTAAGAGAAAGGACCCCACTCTCTAACACTGTCGTTGCCATAGTGACCCCAGTGCTCTGAAGGGGCGGGATCAACAGCCTGTGAGCGAACACGATTTGTTGGCCGAACTACGTCAATCTACCAAAATAAAACCAGAAGCTAGCCATGCCACCTTCAAAATAAAAGCACAATTACAAACACAATGCTGCGTATTGCTTGTTATGTTTGTTTGACTGTAAATACAATTTAAATACGTTATATATATGAACATTGTCATTTAGTATGGCTCTGTTGCTACATACTAACACAGTTTTGACACAAATGCATGATTATTGATTTTATTTTGAAGGTGACAACATGAAGTTGTAATTTTATTATAGCTGCATTGATTAGCGCTTATCAGATTGCCCTGGAGAATACAGTGCGGGCTTATCGACACTGTGAGTAGGCCTATGTTTGATTTTCAGACCTCATATATCTGCAGCATGGCAGGATGCTTGCTTTTCATTCTAATCTGATATGCGCCGTGAGGTTTGGACGTAGGCACCTATCTTGATGGAAAAAAGGAAGCTGTCAGACACAATGAAAAAAGTTGGACTTATTGGAGTGCTGCTGTTACCCCAGGTGAGAAAATGCATGCATGTTTTAATTCTAATGTATATAATTTAAAAGCAAGTGTACTATCGTGTAATTATTTGCAGGCAAAGTCGTCATCAGGGTGTCATCCTCATGTTAATCTTGTCAGAGAGGAGGAAAAGTGCATGACAGATCTTTTAAAGTCACACAGAGCAACAGGTGGGTTTAATGCAGTTTCTAGATTGTGCATTTGGCACATATTGTTTTAAGTTATACTTTTAAAATTATTGAATAACAACATTTTTTTTTTAAGTGTGAAGCAGCAATCTTGATTTCTGACATGATTAAAATCTTTGAATCAAGCCCTTCTCGACCTACAGAAATTTGATGCAATGTCTTAGTGACATCTAGTGGCTATATCATTTAATGCACCCTCACTTCCAAAACTTGCATGAGGCAGAGTGCATTTATATGTAAGGGTCACGATTAATCCAAATATGGTGTTTTTGCAATATAATATTCTGCAACTAAAAAAAATCAGAGCCCTCAAATAAAAGGTGTAATTTCTGCTCCACTATTGAAGAAAACAATATCAGTGTGCACTGTAAGGGAATGTGGGATGACCTGAACTGCTGGCCACCTGCATCTCTTGGAGAAACTGTCTCTCAGCCATGTCCAGACGTTTTCAATTCAGAAGGTGAGACACAACACATGCACACACAATGACATGTATTTGCACTCCAAACAGACACCCATTATCTATAGTACATTTCACTGGTTAATTATTTGCCAGGCACCCGATTTGTTTGCATAAAGAACTGAGACGGTTTCCTCCTCTCAGGGGCTCTATCCAAACATTCAGCCATAAAATGCTTGAGTACATAGACATCATGTATCACCCTGGAGTGCTATGTTTATGTTGTTGAGAGATTAGGACAATAGATTTAATAATAATTTATCTTAAGAACCAGAGCACCTGAAGAGGGAAAGTAATGGTCTTGAAGCATTTCACTGTCTAATAAATTTGAGATCTACATGCTCCACATCTCCTGACCAGCAGGACAAACATCCTCATAAGGCATCATTTTCAGGGTATATTTATTTGTCTGTCTGGCTCAAATGTGCTTTCAGACAACAGTAACAGATGTAGGATTTATTGCTATTCTGCAGGTAAAGTGCACCGCAACTGCACCGCCAGTGGATGGACAGACCCGCTCGTCCCACATGAAGATGCATGCGGCTACACTTTCAATGAGACGCTCCACTTCCTTGGAGAGGTGGGTGGTAACTAACATGCATACAGTATGTGTAGATGATATCTAATATAAGGCTATAAAGCACTGAAGCATCCAATTTTGTGTCATAAAAGGACTTGACTATCCAAGTGCAGACATACGGTAACTCTTGAGGTGGCTCTGAATCATAATAGAGGTCAACTGTGTGTGACTATAATCATTATTTATATGCATGCTTAGGTCTGTGAGCCAATGGGAAGACAGTATAGGATCCGTGTGTGATAAAGTTCCTTTTCTGCCGCAAAAGTTTAAGAGCAAATAAGCTGCTACTTTTACACTTAATTAAACTCCTAATTATGGAAACCCAGTTCAGCCAGTGTGATTAAAAAAGATCCTGTGAGTCATTATAATGAATTTTTTTCCTCGAAACAAGTAGTTAGTATCTCAAAACAATGACTTACTATCTAAAAATAAAGATTTACTACCTCAAAATAATGAGACAGTATCTCAAACTAATGACTTAGTATCTCAGATGATGAGTTAGTATCTCAAAATGATGAGTTAGTATCTCAAAACTAAGAGTTAGTATCTCAAATGATGAGTTAGTATCTCAAAACTAAGAGTTAGAATCTCAAAATGATGAGTTAGTATCTGAAAAATGATGAGTTAGTATCTCAAAACGCTGAGTTACTATCTCAAAATGATGAGCTAGTATCTCAAAACGCTGAGTTAGTATCTCAAAATGATGAGTTAGTATCTGAAAAATGAGTTAGTATCTCAAAATGATGAGTTAGTATCTCAAAACAATGTGTTAGTATCTCAAAACTAAGAGTTAGTATCTCAAAACTAAGAGTTAGAATCTCAAAATGATGAGTTAGTATCTCAAAACGCTGAGTTAGTATCTCAAAACGCTGAGTTAGTATTTCAAAATGATGAGTTAGTATCTCAAAATGGTGAGTTAGTATCTCAGAATTACATAATAAATCAAAACAACAATGAGTAACATTCTCAAAATGAGATAATACCTCAAAATGATGACAAACTTACCTTAAAATAATGACATAGTATCTCAAAATGGCTTAATATCCCAAAAATAATGAGATAATACCTCAAAATAATGACTTAATTATGTCAAAATGACTTACTTATCTCAAAAAAAAGACATCTCAAAATAATGAGATAATACCTCAAAACAATGAGAAACTTTAATTTTTTTGACCCTTCTCATTTTTTTTTTTACTTATCTCGAAATATAATACAGTATCTTAAAATAATGACAAACATATCTCAAAATAATGACTTAGTATCTCAAAATGATGACAAACTTTTAAAAAATCCTGACTTATTATCTCAAAGTAATGACTGACGTATTTCAAAAAAATAACTTCGTATCTAAAATTACTAATAAAAAGTCAATATTTCAATAAAGTTTCTCATTATAAGGACTAAGAGGATTTATTCATTCATTTTAATCAGAATGAGAGGGTAAAAAATTATCTTCTATGTAAATAATCGGCTATAGGTGAAATGAAAACCAAGGACAGTCACACGAAGAGTGAAATGTTCAAGTATTAATGAGCAAATATCACTTTATCTACAGTTTGTCATAAATAGGTTCATAGCCAGTATTATAACATTAGCAAAGTGTTTATCTTTCACACTACGAGAATTAATATTCAGCTTGTATTTTACCTGTTAAAAAGATTACATTTATACTATTTAAAGTCTTCAGAGAACTTTTTTTCCAGGTCTTGTAAAATAGAATTTCAAAATATGTCTGTATTTTAGGCTTGCCCCCTTATTATTAAAAATACTTTTGACATATTACCAAACTCTACCTCTGTGCCCTGTGGACTGCCCTCACCTCAGGCTTAATTTCAGTGCTTGAGTTTGAGCCACATCCTGGGCTGAAAAACTGGTCATAATAAGTGGCTGTTATTGTATTTAATTATTGTTGATGTTATATTGTCAAATGATGCCGTCTTGGAGGTGATAAAGTGACGCTGTCTTTCCCTTGTTCAGTCCTCAGATTCCCATTTGTATTTCTCCTACGTGAAGACCATGTACACAGCTGGGTACACCCTCTCTCTCATCTCCCTCACCATCGCTGTCACCATATTCTGTCTGTTTAGGTGTGAAACTCTCTTTCTTCTTCAGCCATAAAGACTTGTGTAAACTGTATTGGTTAAACCTGCCCTGAAAACTTAACAGCTTAATTGTAAATCTTAATATTTATTTAGAAAGCTGCACTGTACCAGGAACCACATTCACATCCAGCTGTTTATCTCCTTCATCCTGAGAGCCATCTTCATCTTCATCCGAGATGCTCTGCTATTCACTAATGAAGAGATCTACCACTGTGACTACTACCCGGTATGGATGACCAGCTGATACTCACTTTAATTTACTACATTTACAAATGAGTGTCTGATGAACACACCTTCTTTCCTGCGCCACAGGTGGCATGTAAAGTTGTGCTGATGTTTTCCAACTACTCCATCCTGGCAAACTACAGCTGGCTGCTGGCGGAGGGTCACTTCCTCTTCACGCTGGTGAGCCGCTCCTTCTTCTCCCTAAAGAAACACCTGGCCTGGTACATCGTCCTAAGCTGGGGTAAGGGAGACTTGTTATCAACTACAGTGCACCTCAGCAAAGCAAATATTGACTCTGTGCCTTTTTTTTTAGATTCACCCACGTTTTATTTGATCACACAGGCTTACCTCTAATTGTTATTGTCTCCTGGGGATGTGCCAAGTACTTTTACGAAGACGAAGGGTAAGGGGGTGAAAAAATCTGTCTCACACATTCATTTTTAGGTATAAGATTATCTAAGTGTATGATTTTAAAATGACCTCTTATCTTATTGCCATAGCTGTTGGGAGACCAGGAGACATGAATGGATTTGGTGGATACTTCGAGTGCCGGTTCTTCTGACTATATCTGTAAAACCTGTTTCTATTTTACCTAAATTTCTTTTTATTTAAAAAAAAAAAAAATAGTTTGACATTTTGGGAAATACACATATTCACCTTCTTGCCAAGAGTTAGATGAGAGGATCAATCAAGATCATCAAGATTAAACATAGAATGTATAAAATAATGGAAGTAACCTCTGTGAAGTCACCCAGTGGTTTGTGGACTCCTGTTTTGAAGTCTGACTTTGGAAATATGGCTGTCACCATCTCGGATTTTTGGAGCCAGAAGTGACCATATTTGGACAAGAGGGTGAAGCAAGCCCAACAATACCTGCTAGCTTAGTTAGCACGGTACATTTGCTATTATGGTTAATTGTGATAATGCTAATGCTAATTTTCGCTAGCAAAAAACAGTTAAGTGTTTTTTGTTAAGATCAAACATAGAATGTATAAAATAATGGAAGTTACCTCTGTGAAGTCACCCAGTGGTTTGTGGACTCCTGTTTTGAAGTCTGAGTTTGGCATTTTGCCCTAACAGTACCTGTTAGCTTAGTTAGCGCAACACATTTGCAGTGATGGTTAATTGTGATAATGCTAATGCTAATTTTTGCTAGCTAAAACAGGCTTAAAAGAAGCCTATACTTACCAGAAAAAGTAAATATATAACTCTTTACAGGGTCTTTTAGTACAACCAAACGCGGAACCAGATTTTTTTAGGCAACCAACACGTTTCAATTAATTTTCATTGACGCGAAATCACACTGAAATAGCATCAGCTATGGCTACGCGTATACTCTGTGCATGTGGGGTAAGACTAACATTGTTGCCACAGTATTAGTAGTAGACTAAAAAAGTTTTTGTACCAGGCTCGAAACATTTTAATTTTTGCTTTTGAGTTGGGCATTTTAACATGGTGGTCTCGGGGGATTGACTCACTTTTAGAGCCAGCCTCAAGTGGTTATTAGAGGAACTGCAGTTTTTGGCACCTCTACCTTGGCTTCATTTTTCATCCTCAGAGGTTGCTGCTTGGGATAAACCAAACAAGGCAAACCGTGTTCATTAGTTAACTTTAAAAGGTGCTGCATAGGTGGCCATTTTTTTTACCTTTGTACAGAGACAGGCTAGCTGTTTCCACTCTCTATGCTAAGGTCAGCAAATCAGGTGCTGACGCTTTATATTCAGCACACATGTATGAAAGTGGTATTACTATTCTCATCTAGCTCTCAGCAATAAAGCAAATGAGCATATTTCCTAAATTGTCAAACTGTTTGCATTACAAAATAGTACAACAATAATGTTTTAATCCTTTCAGATGAACCTCATCTTTTTCTTGGGCATTTTGAGGATACTGGTGAGCAAACTCAGAATGCCAGATGCACAGAGGAATGAATTCAGCCAGTACAAGTGAGTAGTGATCACACTGTGCTATTGTTGCATTGTCGTACTATGTGCAGTATCTTATATGTAAAGCTGAGACCACTAGGGATTTACATATGAGAAAGGAGGGTCTTTGAGGAATGGGAATGTATTTTGCATAGCATAAGGTAATAAAGAAGGTTTCTATTTGCTTTGTTAATCAGCAGCGTAACAGCACACACACACGAAACCATGTCAGTTTCACAGGGACAGATGCAAAAACAGGGAAATTATACAGTAGGTAAAAGCCTGGGAAACTGTTCATTGTACTATCGGTGAATAAAAATATTTTGTCTTTCAGGAGGCTGATCAAATCTACATTTTTTCTGGTGGCTCTGTTTGGTCTGCATTACATCCTGTTTGTTTTCTTACCTGTTCAAGTCAGCAGCTCAGTGTTTAAGATATGGACCTTTGCAGAGCTGGCTCTGTCTTCCACACAGGTAAATTAGGTGCATGTATGAAAAGGATAACATGCAGTGAAGTCAGAATAATGACAAATGAAACTGCACTCACTGAACTTTCTCTTCAAATCTCTAAGGGTTTTGTGGTCGCTGTGCTCTACTGCTTCATGAACGGAGAGGTAGGAGCTGGTCGGCCAATTACAGCCAAAATGCAAGTTAAAGTAAGAAGCAAATTTGGGATCTATGATTTGCATTTTTTGTCTAGGTGCAGCATGAGTTTCAGAGGAGGTGGAGGAGGTGGAGGCTGACTCAGCACCTGCCCAGTCGGCGGAGGCAGCATCACAGCTCCATCAGCCACAGCGGGTCTCCCCACACACAGGTCTCCCTGCTGCCCTGCTCCCCAGGCAACCCGACAACAGGCGGACTCCCCATGGATACTATGGCGATGTGATTCAAGTTGGTATTGTCTCATTTTCTCGCTCTCCTCCTCCATCGGAACACAGTGGATCCTGGCTTTAGTGCTGGCAGCCAATTAGTACACAACAGTAGCTTGAGTGTTTCTTCCTGTGGTACTGTCAAGAGTTTATTTTACTGATCCCTGGAGTGTTTTTATTAGAGGACATAAGGATGTAATGTGCACTGTAGAGGCCCAGCTGCCAGGCTTACTTGTTTATAGTAATGTCTCAAATTGGTGTGGCAATGATTTGTTATGTTCAAATGTCACAGATATAAATTGTATTGAACATTTAAACACAAATGTAAATGTTCAGTTATTTGAAACTGCCCCATTTGGGGACTTGAATGACAAAGATAGAAAAAAGAAGTAGGCACTAAAATATAGTGACCTTTTGTCCTCAGTATTGTGAAAACTCCAAAAACACTTGATCCTACATTTCCCATAATGCAACTCAACATCATTTCATGAACCCTGGTAAATGCCTTTAAAATTTAGTGGCCCCAATTTAAAATGCAGGGTTTCTGTTAAAAAAACATCATCAGGGCTGTTTTTACGATTTTACTGATTACCTTCACAGCCACAGAAGATATTGAACAACTAAGCACTACACTTCAGCGCTACTATCGTCATTTTCAGGCCTAAAATTGGTGAAATTCCTCTTTAAACAGTAAAGGTTATCATAAAAATACATTTTTGTATCCACCCTCTGTGGAAAAGCATTTATCTCTCTTCCGTAAAACTTCAATTAAAGGCCTAGTCCTAGTAAAAAGCCCAGTCCTCTTTACTAGCCTGGTGTAGCTACACATTTTGACAAATAAATGCCTGTCTCAATTAGAAGCCTGGTCTGGTTAGCAGTTCATATTTATAGGTTTAAATAAACAATTTATTTGACTGTATTCCCATCTTTGCTGAGCAACAGGAATTAAAGGCCTGTCCCAAATATAAGCCTGTTGAGTTCAGTGATTTAAGCAAATAATAGCCCGGGCTATTAATTTAAGTTTTATGGCATCTATGTGTGAAATTCCTCTATGAACTCAGTAAAACTGAAATGTACAGCTAGCTAAAACTTCAGCGCTTCAAGTTAAGTTTAATGGTCAGTTTTTGTGGAACTTGATTGATTTTGGAGCCTGTAGTTCGTGGTGCTGTTGTACTGCATCATACTGATGATTGAAGGTGTGTTTGTCATTTATATTTATACCTTGTTGGATGTTTAGCCTGCTGGAACAAGCCAAGTCCAAGGCCAAAGGAAAAGTCTTTTGAAGTCCAGTCATGTATACAGATTGTCTTTATTCACAATGATTTATGTGAAAGTGTACATTGTAGTTGCACTTAACAGAACAGTTTAACACTTTAGGAGACACATTTATTTGCTTTTTTGAGGAGAGTTGTGAGGTCAATATGAATCTAGAGCCTGCAGGAGATTTGTTCAGCTCAGCATACAGGGTGGAGGCAGAAGGAAACAGGTGTTTTACCTTGACAGGCTGCATGTTTCCCCCTGCTTCCAGTTTTTATACTAACTGAGGGCAGTGGCGTGGTGACTCTCACTTCACAGATATATAGAGATGCTTTCAGCAAGAACGCAAATTTTGCATTTCCCAAAATGTTGCTCTTCCTTTAACCACTGTTGTTTTAATCAATGTCAAGTACCACAAAGTACTCCAAACTGCAGCACTCTCTAGCATTTGATCCACCTCCGTCTTACATGGTATCACGGTGCCAAAGAGTGCAGCAGCAGCGTGTAAAGTCAGGTCTAAATGGTATCCAATTTTTTTAGTTTCTATTAAGAACAAAATGAGAAATGTGAGGTTTAAAGTGCAACACACTGTAAGAATCAGTCATAGAGTATAAAGTTACATACATTGACATGAACTTTTTATCTTTGTAATATGACCTTGTCTGTGTTTGTTACATTAACTGCTTGTCTGCTTTTTATGTTCATGTTTCCTGTGTTTGATAAGCCAAAAACAAATTTCCACTTTTGTGGACAATAAATATATAGCCCCTTTTAATCCATCCCGTATATTCCTTTCAGCTCCTTCACCAAATTAACATAAGCCTCCATTGCTTCCTCTTTGGACAGACCTGTTGGTTAAAAACAGAAACAAGCAAATCAGTTGGTTTTTGCAGGAAGATTTGTTTTTTATATTTTGCATATGCTCTCTCATGGTATTTTTGAAAGAAAAGTTTTATAAACTTGACCTTTCTTTAGTATCCATGCATCCCATTTCGCTCGACCAGCGATGTCAAACATCCCTGGACGGTCTGTGGACATAAAAGCAACCATCAGTAACTGAAACAAAATCTACCTGAAGCATCAAAAGGAAACAAACTGCAGAGAAATTGCGACATGGGTGTTAAACTATTATCATTATCACATTCTACAACTGATTCCAGTATTTTTAGAGTTAATTTATTGAAATTTGACAAGTTTTAGACAAACAAATAAATGAATAAATGTTCTGCTGGGAAACCTTGGGTCCTGACATTCATGTGGGTTGCACCTGAGGCACAAAGCGCCATTGCAGATCAAGTCCTCATGGCAGCCGCACTCCCTGATGGCAGTAACCCCCCAGCAGGACAATGCACCCTCCCACACCGCAAATGCACCCTCCCACACCGCAAACACTGCTCAGGAATGGCTCAAGGAATGTGTCAAAGAGCTCAAGGCGTCAACCTGGCTTCCACATTACCTAGATCCAAACCTGATTAACCATCTGTGGTGTGTGCCAGTATCCCACCTTGCATCCTGTCAAACACCAGGGAGACCCCAGCTTAGATTGGACTTGGCTCTGACTGATTAAGACACGGACACGGGACCTCTGAGGTATTAGTACGTCCCACAGATGCTCCATCGGATGGGGATCTGGGTAATATGACGGACAGTACGACACCTTACGCTCCCGAGCAGTTATTGCGGTGTGGCATGGCACATTGTCCTGCTGGGGAGGGTTACTGCTATCAGGGAGTGCATTAGGTGGCATCTACATGAGTGCCAAGATAAAAGGTTTCCCAGTCGTACACTTTTTCAAAGCCTTAAGTCAAAGATATAAAACTTTTTTATGCACTCAATTGATACATATTTCTCTCAAATTTTAGCCACAAATTAGTTATGTGTTTGTGAGCTCTTGTCCATTTTCAAGATTATCTATCCACCTGACAGGTGTGGCTTATCAAGATGCTGACTGAACAGCATGACTATGACACAGATGTGCCTTGGGATGGTCACAACAAAAGGCCAGGGTGGGGCTAAGAACAAAAAAGATTATGTCACAAACCTGTTTTTTTTTTTTTTGTTTTGTTTTGTTTTAAGTCTTGAATGGCAGCATCAAGTTTGCCATTTGGTCATCCAGCCATGAATGTTGAATGTTACAGATAAATCCTTCTCTGAATCTAAGTTTGTAGGCGCTTTATAATCCTCTTTCTGAAAATTCATGTTAGTAATTTTTCATTTCTTTTTCTTCCCTTTAAATAACATGCTCTATGTATCAACTATGAGATCTTTCACAGACATCTGACCTGTCAGACCTCATTCTTTCTCCTCCTTTACATATTTACAGGACAACTCAGAGCACATCCCAACAGTCTTTTTTAGTGTTTCCCTATAAAATTGCAATGTTTAACACCTTAACAAAAAGGTAGAGACTCACCTGAGGTATTATCACCAACTGTGGCCTGCTTGTATAAGCCGTATAGGTCGCTGAGGTATTTGTTGTTTGGTCTTTGTTTGAGCTTTGTTGCATCGACTGCTGCTGTTTTAAAGGTCTGCTGGTAGAATGAAAGAAAGATATGAATTAAAGTTGACACAAGCTGGTGCAGACATCTTCTTCAAAGCTCTTAACAGCCACACTTTTAAGTTTGTAATTGTTCTTGTTCAGTCACTGAGTAGAGGGATTCCTGCTATAACACCCTCCTCCAATGAATCTGGATAAGTAAACATACCTGAGATAACTTAATCGTACAGTAAATCTTTGTAACATTGTAGGAAAGGCTTAAATTCAGAAGAGATTCTTACCTCCATGACTGCTGTGGGAAACTGACGCACCTTGCTGCTGCTGCTGCTGCTGCTGCACCTTACTCGTCAAACTTGTCCTGCGATAATGTCTTTTTGTCATTGTTTGGTTTCGCTGGAGACAATAAAGTGGGAGGACATTCCTTGAGGCAGACTAACTGCCATTCAGATTTACAATTCTTTAAGCTAATGAGTAGAAGAAAATAGCATACTTTGATATGACAACTTCAGTTTTTTCATACGTTGTCATATATAATGTCTTGAATGTTCACACACTGACACAGGATATGTAGTGGACAGATCACACTTCAGTGACATTACTCATATATTTAATACAACTTTGAGCCTCTGTCACATATTTCACAAAAAAATATCAGTTTTTGCTTTTGTGTTTTCCAAAGTACATATACACATAACAAATATATATATACAGTCAGGTCCATAATTATTTGGACAATGATATAGTTGTCGTCATTTTGGCTCTGTACACCAGCACAATGGGTTTTAAATGAAACAATGAATACCTGCTTAAAGTGCAGACTCTCAGCTTTCATTTAAGGCTTTTTTCAAAAATGTAGTATGAACCGTGTAGGAATGACAACCATTTCTTCACACAGTCCCCCGACTTTAAGGGCTCATAAGTATTTGGACAAACTAACATAATCATCAATTAAACAGTCAGTTTTAATACTTTGTTGCAAATCCTTTACAGTCAATGACTGCCTGAAGTGTTGGACACATAGGCATCATCAGATGCTGGGTTTCTTCCCTGGTGATGCTCTGCCAGCCCTTTACTGCAGCAGTCTGCACTTCCTGCTTGTGTTTTGGGTGTTTTGCCCTCAGTTTTGGCTTCAGCAAGAGAAACGCATGCTCAGTTGGATTCAGGTCAGATGATATGACTTGACCATTGCAGAACATTCCACTTCTTTGCCTTAAAAATGACTTTGGTTGCTTTTGCAATATGCTTCAGGTCAATGTCCATCTGCACTGTGAAGCATCATCCAATGAGTTTTGAAGCATTTAATTGAATCTGAGCAGATAATGGTGCCCCAAACACTTCAGCTTCCATCCTGCTGCTCTTGTAAGCAAGACAAGACTTCACTAGAATAAATACAGAGGGTTTATCACAAGATGCAAACCATTGGTTAGCCTTAAAAATGGAAGGCCAGATTAGAGTTTGTCAAAAACCATCTAAAAAGCCTGTACAGTTGTGGAACAGCATACTATGGACAGATAAAACAAAGATCAACTACCAGAATGATGGGAAGACAAGAGAAGGAAGAAGGGAAGGAACTGCTCATGATCCAAAGCACACCACCTCATCAGTGAAGCATGGTGGAGGTACTGTTATGTCATGGCCATGTATGGCTGCCAGTGGAACTGGTTCTCTTGTATTTATTGATGATGTGAGTGCTGACAAGAGCAGCAGGATGAAAGCTAAAGTGTTTGGGGCACCATTATCTGCTCAGATTCAACCAAATGCTTCAAAACTCATTGGACGATGCTTCACAGTGCAGATGGACAATGACCTGAAGCATACTGCAAAAGCAACCAAAGACATTTTTAAGGCAAAGAAGTGGAATGTTCTGCAATGGCCAAGTCATATCATCTGACCTGAATCCAATTGAGCATGCGTTTCTCTTGCTGAAGCCAAAACTGAGGGCAAAACACCCAAAACACAAGCAGGAAGTGCAGGCGGCTGCAGTAAAGGGCTGGCAGAGCATCACCAGGGAAGAAACCCAGCATCTGATGATGTCTATGGGTCCAACACTTCAGGCAGTCATTGACTGTAAAGGATTTGCAACCAAGTATTAAAACTGACTGTTTAATTGATGATTATGTTAGTTTGTCCAAATACTTATGAGCCCTTAAAGTCGGGGGACTGTGTGAAGAAATGGTTGTCATTCCTACACGGTTCATACTACATTTTTGAAAAAAGCCTTAAATGAAAGCTGAGAGTCTGCACTTTAAGCAGGTATTCATTGTTTCATTTAAAACCCATTGTGCTGGTGTACAGAGCCAAAATGACGACAACTGTATCATTGTCCAAATAATTATGGACCTGACTGTATATATATATATATAGCTTTGGGAGACATTTGGAGACTATTAATGTTTTGCCACAAGATGGCAGCATTCACATATTAAATGAAGTTTTTATCAGCCTTTGATTCAGTTGAGAAATCCTGACATGAATCATCCACAACAAATCTATTTCACTTTACTTAAAACATAAATACAATAGCAAAAAAATGTAGAAAATTCTTTATTCTATGTTCTAGAAGTTTCCATTTGAAATCTACATTCATGCTTTTGTTAGACTGCTTAAATTTCACTACTTCACAATGACATTTTAATTAGGATTCATTTAGAAATCTACTGATCACATAACGGAGAATCATCTTTGGCAAGAACACATGAAACTGAGAAAATACAAATTCATATAATGAAACAAAAACTGCTGAAATCACACAACAGCTCATGATAAAAACAGTACAAAAAAAAAAAGTTCTGTAACACCCTCTTGATATGTTTGTAAGTAAGATGTGTACTTGTACAGCAGGTCAGTTTAGTACAACAGTATATTGTAACCATATTTAAAAATAAAAAACTCATCAATGGCAGTTTTCTAAAATTGTGTAATCACTTGTCTGTACTTCACAACTGTGGCAACTAAAGATGCAGGTATGCCTCAGATATGGCTTTCTAGTTACACTGTAAAGACCACCTGAGTAAGGGACTGTACAAAAATTATTGTAAGAGGGAGGGATGGCAATTTTGTCATTTTTCTTTTTTAAGGGAACACTGTCGAACTCTCTTGAAACACACCTAATATGATCAGTTCTGCATGTTTTCAGTCCTTGAACTCACAAACTTGATCACCTGTTCTTCCAAAGCTAACAAGCTGGAACCAAGACACATAAAGCTTTCTTTGCATTTATAACTACATAAAAAAGCAAATTCCTATACGCATAAAACAGGAAGTTAACGTTTATCAGCCCTTGGTTTAAACACTTAAATTGGCTCATATGCCGTACATTTGGTAATTTCAAATTTCACTTCTAGTTTGTGTAATAGTGGAGGACATGAAATATTTAAATGGGGTACATCATCTAAAATTCTTTACACTTTGCCTCTTTAAATTATTAATGGTTCCAGGACCTGAATAAACTCAATAATGGTTTATCACATAGAGATACTGGGTCCGCCTGAAGAGCAAAAGAGGCGGAATGCTGAATGCAGTTTCAGAATCTATCTATCATCTCAGACGATTTTGCTTGGTACTAGTTTTTCCCTAATTTATCAGCATTCAAATGCAGATACCTGTTTACAGAAACTAGCCACAATTTTGCCCAGACCTTCCTCAAGTTACTAACTGAATTGTAAACAACGAGTGGGGCATGGAAGAGGAAGTCTTGGCCTGGATATCCACTGACTACACCAAAACTCCCGAAATATCGGTCATTGCCCCCCAGAGGCTTTACTGTAATCAAACAATAACTGGTTCTGAGGTTGAGGGGAAGGTCCAAAGAAAATCTTAAGTGCTATATCGTTGGCAACTGGACTTGCTTGCGTTTCTTGAAGACGTTTCGCCTCTCATCCAAGAAGCTTCTTCAGTTCTAAATTACTGGTACGAAGTTGCACGCTATAAACCCTGTGTGGGTGGGAACCCTTGCAGAGTCGTAGGGGTCACGTGAGCTCTTAGTTTCAGAGTCGTTAAGGTCACAATGTGAGTCGTTGACCCACCTGGCCACCTGGTTCGTACCAGTCATTTAGAACTTAAGAAGCTTCTTGGATGAGAGGCGAAACGTCTTCCAAGAAATGCAAGCCAGTCCAGTTGCCTACGATATAGCACTTACGATTACCATGACCTGGATGACTGAGAATCTTCACCGAAAAGTCCAAAGAAAATATATATAATACTGGGGAGGGTCTTTTTTAAGATAAGTTTCACCTCCCTCACCAGCCCAATAATTTTCATACAGTTGCTTTTAGTTTGAATTAATGTGACGGCACATTAAATTTTCAAAGTGTTGCAAAATAAAATGTAAAACAAAAGAAGAAGAAACACTGGAGTTTCATCAGTGACAGCAAAAACAACACAAAACCATGTCTGTTGCCATTTTAGCATGTGGACAAAATGTCGCAGGCTGGCTGACAATAATCTGAGCAGCCATCTTTAAGTGCAAGAAGAGACTATATAAAAATGAAAACCTTCAACTGACAGGAATGCACAAGCCAAGAGGAAGGGTACGTCTACCTCTGCTGATGAGAGCGAAGAAATCTTATTTCAAAGACTCAGTTATGAACTTATGCAAAATTCAGCAGGTTCATTAGAAGTGTAACAGTGACAGTTTTGCATAAATTATACCAGAAGTGAATAGTGTTCGTCCTCAGCTCTGGGTTGAAGCTTCAAAAAGAGAAACAGATAACAATAAATTAAAGTCAAAAGCATAAGGAGCAACTAAATACTCATTAGTGACGATGCATAGTGCAATAAGGTCGACGACTATAGCTCTACTGGTCAAACATCTCTGAGAAACTACCAGCTGATTTGTTGAAAAGAGGCTCACATACACCTCTGAAATCTCTCAGAGATGAGCCTTCGATACATTCCAAGAGTCTATAAATCATTTATCTCATATGTGCATGCACATATGAGCTCTGCTTTACACCTTTTTTGTCTGGCTCTTCACACACACACACACACACACACACACACACTTTACAGTGTGTTTCTCACACATTACTGACATCCTCCAGCCCGTTGCGGCAGTCGTCGTCCGGCAGAGTGAAGCGGATGTGTCGGCTCTTCTCCCAGCCACGGCGGATCTGTGCAAGCCGCCGGGCCATGCAGGGCAGGAAGAGAGTCAGGCGGCCCAGCAGAACCGCCAGGGGAATAATCAGGACCAGTATGAAGGTGGGCGGCAGGTTGAAGTGGTACTGGGCTGAATCAAAGGCACGGTTCCAGCCAAAGAGGAGTGTGTGGAGGGTGGCCATGGACAAGGCACAGTAACCCAGTGTGGACTGCAGGGGGTGAAAGAAGGGCGTCACGGGTTGAAGTAAAGAATATGTACCACTACAATCATCCTGTCTTCCAAATATATGACCCACATGACTCTTCCTGTGTCCAGCCAGTCCACTACATTAGCTCACTGTGTTACCACCTACAGCAGACCCTGGGGAAACACACTGACCTACCACTCACGAGCTGACTGAACCCCACTTGTGTATGCATGTGTGTGTGCCATATACTGTCCCTACAGGCCCGCTAATTAAAAAACTTCCCAAGGTTGAGTCGCGTAGGGGCCAGGGGTTAAAAATAGCCGCATCTTCCTCTTTCACACACTGACTGGGCACAGTGGGTCACAATTATTTCCACTCGACAGGAGTGATGACTGTTTATTACAGTGCTTTCTAGGGCTGTGCTGAGGAGTTGGAAGCTTTGAATCTTCATACATGACACTGACATTCACATTTTAGATCAACTTTTAAATGCTGTGCGTCAAAGGCTGAGTATCGTTTCAAAAATGACGACACCAGTACACTAGAGTACATTAGTTTATAAAGTTTTTTCTTCTTAAAAGGCGCTGTATGTAAGAATGTGGCCAAAACAGTTACTGCACTCAAATTCAAAATACTGCCGCGAGTCGTGTCCGCCCCCCCTCCCCTACAGATTCGAGGTTGCTGGACAGCGGCACGCTGGAGACTGATTTGTTTGCCCACGGGCGGCTGCCGTGGCAGGGCCGCGCCGCCGCGTCCTTGATCTTCGGTTTTCCAGCGGACCGTTCAAACAAGTCCGGCTTCTCTGCTGATAACACTGCTGCCGGGATACAGCTGAGGAGGAGTCGGCTGCTAATGCTATGTACCGAGATACTGCTAATGCTGCTTGCCGTGCTGCTGTAGCTCAGTCGTAACTGTAACTGATGCTGAGACTCTACTGACTGTGTGAATGGTAGACGGCAGTGGGTGGCGCAACAGGCCAAAACACAAATTCAAAACATAAACATGATTTGCAGAGTGTAAAAATGTTTTTTAAATGCGAATATTCTGGCTGTACTATTGTTGTCGGTGAGATCAGTATGTTATATGAACATTATTCTTTAGTCTCTGTGACACATTAGGAGGATTTTACGACTATTTGCTTTAGATTTCTTACATATAGCTCCTTTAATTAACGTGTTCTCATCGAATGAAAATATTCTTCTTCATTCCATATTCACTGGTGTTCAGCCTTTCAAAAAAGACATTTCACCTTGGTTGAAAAACTGCTTGCGGCACACAAAGAAAGGCCCCCACCTGTTTTAACCTGGCGGCAATCTAACGGCACCATAAATTACATTTATATAACAACAATAACAAGAAATCTATTTCAGCTCTGACAGTATTACAGTAAAGTCGATCCAAAAAATACACGTTATGTATCTGCATTTGCTTCGCGTACTGTTCAAATACAGGATTTTGTTTGAGGATTTTTTATTTGTTTTAGGGTGATGACATCATGAAATGAGGACAGACATTTGAAAACCTCAATAGAAGCTTTAAATGTACAAGACATGACATCTGGTACAGCCCTGGTGCTTCCACATAAATGAAAGGAACAGCAGCAATTTAAAAAGGAAAAAGAAGCAAACTAATCATTGCTGTTTGATAGCAAGAGCATTCCCAAAGTGCATCTAGAGAACTGCAAAAGACATTCGGGGGGATTATGGCGCTTGAACAACAGACATTTTTCACAGCAGACATTTGACCTGTCACAGCAAGAAAAGGACAAATGGAACTACAAGAGCAAGTGGAGAGTGTGTTCATCAGCAGCAAAAAAGCCTTGTGGAATTTAAAGTGGATATATCTATCAACCTGTATTAATCCACTTTTGAAAACAGTCCACAACAAATGCACTCCATCTTCCTGTTTGAGTAACGTGTGCTTAACCAACACTGCCTCACTGTTTCAGAAACTGTTGGTTTGTTTTTAAATGAAACTATATATTTGTGACCTGTTTCTAAAGATTTATGTCCTCAGCCAAACCAATGGGCTGAGAGCAACAGGCTAACTGAGGAAGTTGCCAAGTATTGCTGGCTTTAGTCTTTGTGTGGACTTCGTTGACCATAACATCAGGTCTGAGATAAGGGCATGATACTCCCACAGCACATTTTTGCCATTTCTGTTCAGTAAAACTTGGCTTGTTTTATGTAATGAAGTGACCACTGTTTGCGTCATTTAAGGTTTTTTGTACACAGTTGGTTTAATTATAATAATCACTCCTAACACAAACTACCATATCTCATGTCACACTCAAAATTAAAACACTGCAATCAAATTAAGACGCCTGTAGTTCTGTTCATTTTTTTTCCAGAGCAAGAGAGAAAATTTTGTTAGATGGGTTTGTTTAAATGGGTTAACGCTTTTTACAAGCATTAACGCCTGGTTCACACTACACAACATTTTTGTCCGTTCCAACAGTCACTTTGTCACATTACGCAATTGTGGAGTCATAAAGTCAGTGCAGTGACTTGGCCGACAGACATGACACACTACACGATGGTCCACACCAAATATCCCCGGTCGTCTTTCACGACATATGTGATGTCATCAGGTTATTCTTGTCCTATTTTTATTACTTGTACTATTATTTCAGTCACTGTGTCTGTTTATGTGCCAGCTGAAATGATGTGGTAACGTAAAGAGCGCTGCCAGATACCATACGTAAACATGCAAGCCACTGAATCCTCCACAACAAGTTCCTGCAAATGTTTCACAATAAAAGCCTGTTTAGAAAATGAAGGGATTCTCTCAACCAAAGTTATGAGGGGCTTTTAATTTGAAACACAAACAGGAAGTGTTGAGTTTGAAATGACAGCACGGTGAATTAACTTTATCAAGGCAAACAGGAGTGGATAAAAAGTAAAAATATAAAAATACAGAGGTATTATTAAACAACGTCCCGTTTATTATGTAGTCTGTTTAAAATGAAGCTGGTAGCCTCTGCAGTTGTGGTGAGTAAAAGCCACTATTTTCTGATTTTCTTACTTTATGTCTGTCTCCATTATGAAATAACATTGTTTACTAGCTTGATGCTAATGGCAGTACTCATTGGGTTGATAAAGTGCCTCTCCTGTTTCAAACCATCATTTTTCTCTTTTTACTCTGTGTGGTAACATCCCTAGAGGAAATATCTAAAAGGCTGAGCTGTTGTTCACACACAGTTGTCTACGGCAGCAGACCGCTCTGTGTTCCTGTTGGTCAAAGTGATGGCTGTGACGGGAGCAGTCGTGAACGACACCATACGTCACTGCGTCGGGCTAGAATCGGGCTGATATCGTGTAGTGTGAACCCGGCATAAGTCATATGGAATCACAGGTAACTCATTCATTGGACAATTTTGTGATGTCACATTGCATCATCATCGTTACATGGACCTGCGTGGGGAAATCAAAGCGTGGTGACTGACAGCCCGTCATGCTGCACTTTACTAAACATTACTATGTGGCCATTATGTTTCACTTACTTTTTAAATATGGAATCGCTTTGCCTAATTTTTCATATATATACAGTACAGGCCAAAAGTTTGGACACACCTTCTCATTCAATGCGTTTTCTTTATTTTCATGACTATTTACATTGTAGATTCTCACTGAAGGCATCAAAACTATGAATGAACACATGTGGAGTTATGTACTTAACAAAAAAAGGTGAAATAACTGAAAACATGTTTTATATTCTAGTTTCTTCAAAATAGCCACCCTTTGCTCTGATTACTGCTTTGCACACTCTTGGCATACTCTCGATGAGCCTCAAGAGGTAGTCACCTGAAATGGTTTTCCAACAGTCTTGAAGGAGTTCCCAGAGGTGTTTAGCACTTGTTGGCCCCTTTGCCTTCACTCTGCGGTCCAGCTCACCCCAAACCATCTCGATTGGGTTCAGGTCCGGTGACTGTGGAGGCCAGGTCATCTGCCGCAGCACTCCATCACTCTCCTTCTTGGTCAAATAGCCCTTACACAGCCTGGAGGTGTGTTTGGGGTCATTGTCCTGTTGAAAAATAAATGATCGTCCAACTAAACGCAAACCGGATGGGATGGCATGTCGCTGCAGGATGCTGTGGTAGCCATGCTGGTTCAGTGTGCCTTCAATTTTGAATAAATCCCCAACAGTGTCACCAGCAAAACACCCCCACACCATCACACCTCCTCCTCCATGCTTCACAGTGGGAACCAGGCATGTGGAATCCATCCGTTCACCTTTTCTGCGTCTCACAAAGACACGGCGGTTGGAACCAAAGATCTCAAATTTGGACTCATCAGACCAAAGCACAGATTTCCACTGGTCTAATGTCCATTCCTTGTGTTTCTTGGCCCAAACAAATCTCTTCTGCTTGTTGCCTCTCCTTAGCAGTGGTTTCCTAGCAGCTATTTGACCATGAAGGCCTGATTGGCGCAGTCTCCTCTTAACAGTTGTTCTAGAGATGGGTCTGCTGCTAGAACTCTGTGTGGCATTCATCTGGTCTCTGATCTGAGCTGCTGTTAACTTGCAATTTCTGAGGCTGGTGACTCGGATGAACTTATCCTCAGAAGCAGAGGTGACTCTTGGTCTTCCTTTCCTGGGTCGGTCCTCATGTGTGCCAGTTTCGTTGTAGCACTTGATGGTTTTTGCGACTCCACTTGGGGACACATTTAAAGTTTTTGCAATTTTCTGGACTCACTGACCTTCATTTCTTAAAGTAATGATGGCCACTCGTTTTTCTTTAGTTAGCTGATTGGTTCTTGCCATAATATGAATTTTAACAGTTGTCCAATAGGGCTGTCGGCTGTGTATTAACCTGACTTCTGCACAACACAACTGATGGTCCCAACCCCATTGATAAAGCAAGAAATTCCACTAATTAACCCTGATAAGGCACACCAGTGAAGTGGAAACCATTTCAGGTGACTACCTCTTGAAGCTCATCGAGAGAATGCCAAGAGTGTGCAAAGCAGTAATCAGAGCAAAGGGTGGCTATTTTGAAGAAACTAGAATATAAAACATGTTTTCAGTTATTTCACCTTTTTTTGTTAAGTACATAACTCCACATGTGTTCATTCATAGTTTTGATGCCTTCAGTGAGAATCTACAATGTAAATAGTCATGAAAATAAAGAAAACGCATTGAATGAGAAGGTGTGTCCAAACTTTTGGCCTGTACTGTAGATATATAGATAGATAGAGATTTTTTTTTTTTTTTTACGTACAGGTCAAGTGGTCAATGTTTTGCCTTTAGTGACTAAGGTAGAATCCGAGTCTATAATTGGTAAATCATGTATGACTGAGGCTCAAGCTCACAACGACACAAGTACGTCTCTGACACATGCACATAAACAAGTATGCACACACACGAACACACTGTCCTGCAGCGAGTATAGATGTGCCGGGCAGAAAGTTGCTCCTCATCGTGCCGCCTGTCAGCACATGACTAATCTGACAGCCACCGGATTAGCTGAACGGATAGATGAAAGGGAAGAAGGCAGCACCGACGGACCGCCAGTCCCGGAGAAATGAAGGCCACGATGGGGGGGACGTTAAGGAGGCGAGGAGAGCAGGAAGTGTGTGAGTCACTACACTCCTGATGGCTTTGTCACAGCCCAAGTTTAACGCCAAATCTGGGGCAGCTGCAGGAGTGCAAACACACTGTCTGTATGTGCCATGTGAACATGTTGGGGAAACAGTGTGCATCTGTCTACACATCAGCGTGATGCCTGCGTCTGCCTGTATGTTTATGTGTCAAGGGTCATGACTGTCTGTCAATCTTTGGCCTTTGTCTGTATTCATCACATATCTCCTTACCCGGTATCCAAGAGGAATAGGGACCCATGATTTTGGCAGGATATATTCAGACGAAAAAGGGTGTTTTGTTTCTTTATATAACTCACACATAACGCCTGCATGTGTGTATGTGTGTGTGTGTGTGTACCTGTATAAAGCTGAACTCTCTCCAGTTGACAGCGTTGGCCACTGAAGGCAGCGAGGTGACAGCCAGCAGAGAGAGCAGCCCGAGGGCCATGATGCCCACTGAGAGGTACAGCTCCATCCTCCACACCTCCTCGTCATTCCACAAGTCCTCCGCCCCCCCCTCCTCCATCTGGACATCATAAAATAAACAACAATATCCTCAGTGTGTTCAGAGTAAGGTATTTAGCAGACACTACATAGGTAGCAACAATCAGGTCCTCTGCTTCTTTCTCTTACCTGTTTAAAAGCCAGGAGCAGTTTGTAGCGGGCAGACTTCCTCATGGGGAGACACAGACTATAGATGGCGTGAAGACCCGCACACAGGAAGCTACACAGCCCAAACTGCTTTCTGCTGGTCAGCCACCGGTCCAGCCAGTTTGAGAAGCGATTGTACTTTGTGCCCCACCACAGCTGGAGGAAAGCGGCGCACAAACCAGGCAGATAGACCAGAGAGAGCATCACCAAGGCCACGGAGGGAAGCGTGACATTGACCATCTCGATAGGCATTTTGTAGAAAACGCTCTTCTTTGCTTTGACGTAGGGCTGCAGGACGTCGCGGAGGAAGTTGTACACGTAGAAGAAGAGGAACAGGGTCAGAGTGCAGAGGACTGGGAGGCGCCAGGAGGGAAATAGAAAGAGGGGGAGGTTTTCGATCTCCAGAGAAGAGGAGAGGAGGCCCATGTCGACAGGGACAAAGCCCATTCTACGACAGAGTTGCATCACCAAGCTCTTGGCCTTGCTGCTGTTACTGCACAGGAAAATCTGGAGGAAAAGAATTCAAATTCATTCCAGGTCAGAAGTATCACTGGACCTTCATGAATCTACACCACAAGTAGCAGTTGATGTATCCTACCTGCCTGCTTCCATCCCGAGGCCCCCTCTGGAGGGTCCAGGCTGATATGGTGTTAAACCCTTTGACGACAGTGCTCTCTGGAAACAAGTCGGCCAGCTGCTCGGCGTGCGAAGGCCCATCGCGGTTGATTCTCAGACCGTTGCTGACATCCACCAGCGTCTTTCCAGCTAGTGCCGGCTTCAACTCCACCAGCGTGGAGTGGTGCTCCGGGAACACAGCGACAAAGACAAGGTCTGCCTGGCTGGCTGCCTCCATCTGGGACGTCACCTGGAGGACAAAGACAGAAATAGCTATACTTTATATGCAAATTTTTGGCTGGTTAGCATTTGATTAGATAGAGCTACACAACCAATTACCAACAATAAAAAGGCAAGCACATACATACACGTCCACCCCATACTGTACGAACATCAGTCGCTAATTTTTCTGTGTCTCTATTGTCCCAGGTTAATTATTGTCTTTATGAATTGAAATGTATTAAAAGCATATTTTTGCGCATAGGCAACCCCCCCACCCCGAAAAAAATAGGGCTACCCAAAAAGCCAAGGTGTAATGTGAACACTTTACCATGCACTTAATGTTTTTCTTGTCAATATATCGAACATTGAATTACATAATTCTTTACATTAAATGATGTCTAAATGATCTCAGTGTTATTCCTTGTATTTTGTATTATGTATAGCAAATATGAGCTTTTCCTAGTTCCTCGATTAATTTCATAAGAAAACTGTGTGTGTCATGATGTCTAATACAAGAGCATTGCCCCAGAAGACATGCAGCTCTGACAGTTTTAGAATATGAATTGGAATATACAGTATTTAATCACATTGTCAGTCAAATTGCGAGGGATGCACTGATATTTTGATGTCAGTATGAATTATGATTCCTTCTGAGGGTGAAAATATAGAAACTTAAAAAATGTCTGTGATTGACTTTATTCTGTTCCCATACCACAACTGACTCTCATCTTTAACTGAGTTTATGTGCTGTGTATCTATTCAGACTAATAACAACAGTCATTATGCCTTGCGGATAAAGTCAGAGTAAATATATAATTATCACAACAGGGGGAGGAGGAACAAAAACACTAATTATACAGTGGTGAGTGTCAGTGTCACTGTGTGTGTCACCTCGGCCTCTTCAGGGAACAAAGCCACAGAGCGTTTGGGGTTTCGACTCCCCACCACCACTTGGTAGCCGGAGGCCACCAGCCTTCTCGCCAGCGAACGGGAGAAGTCGCCTGTACCCAGGATGCCAACAACTGGAGCGCCTGCTTCAGACATGGAGGCTTCAAGATGTCTGGAGCCTCCTCCTTGGATTAAAGGCCTTGCCATTTCATCAGGCATAATGCACTGATGAATCTACAGAGAGGGGACATGATCATTAATTTGGTTTATGTTTATTTCTATCAAAAAAAAAGCTTCCTAAGTTGCAAAAGCAAAGATCTTTAAATTCGACATTAAGATGTTGATATTAACGTATTTACTCACAGACTCTGTTAGGTGTAGACTTTACAGGCTTGTTTTTTCATCCAACATAAGACCTACAATGAAACATGCAGTTTACATGCAGTTCTACCTGCCCTTTGTGTGCTCTAGAATTTCCATTATCTCTGTGTCTCAGTCGACATGTCCTAGATCTGCACAGTAACTCAAAGCAATTGGTGGCCATCCAATAATAGACTAAAAAGTATGTTACGCACCCTGAAGACAGAAACAGTCAAATCCGTAACCAATCTATCCAGCTGGCTCAGAAAACATACCATAATCAAACAAGTCTGTTATTAATGCAAAACCTCATTTAGAAAACAGCTAATTTCGACACACCCCCAGCGCGCGGTAACGTTACTTACGTTAGCGGTGGAGATAGTAAAAATGTGCTCCTTGAAGAAGTGCTGCATTAATAGTCATCCAGCTATACGCCGAATTTACCAGAAGACCCCGACTCTTCATAAACTGTTTCAATTATTGTTGCTCAATCTACTACAGCTGACCGCTCAGCGATAAAACATTAAAATGGGAAAAATCCGTACTGACATTTTCTATAAGAAAGCAACGTGCCACCTTGCTTCTTGTCCTTGACTGAACTCGGCGGAAACTTTACGTCCGAATAAAGTTCCTCTTCTTCACACACAGGACGACACAGCCAAACATACGTTTACATTTAGATAAAATACTATCTTACATTACATAATTTAGCCTCTGTTGGTACTTTAAGCGATATTTTTCCAACTAACTTTCTGTTTTACTCACCCAGCTCGTCCGCTCTCCGTTAACTGAGCGTTTCTTCTTCCTGATAAGATGACGCACAGCCATAGCCCCGCCCCTACCACGCCCACACGTGCGCGCAGAAGATAAAACAGAGAGATTGCACTCTTCTAAAGCATTAGTAAGTACTTTAGAAGAGTGGGGAAAGGTGTAAAGCCAACAAAAAAATTTAATAAAAAAATATATATATAATAATATGGTATGAATAAATAAGTAAGTGTCCAATACTTTGATTTAAAACCAATTACATGCAAAACTAATGACACTCCCATCACATTTAGCTGTCCCTTGTATTTAGTTACAATTCACTATAGTTAGCATGCTAACACAAGATGGTGAACATGGTAAACATACATGTTAGCATTTAGCTTGAAGCAGTCTCACAGAGATTCTAGTATAGCTATAATCTCTTCTTTCAGTTGTAGCAATGGTCTGGTTGTATTTACTACACCATATTGTTTTTGGAAATTAAAAGTTGATTTACACTAAACAATAATTTAATGCAACACTAATGTTTTTGCTCCCATTTTTTTTACAGGTTTAAGTTAAAGACCTGAGACTTTTTATGCAGTCAGTAGATTATATTTCTCTCATATTTTGGTAACAAATTTGTTAAAATCATGTCATATAAATTAATCATTGATACACAGGTGTGCCTTGGGACGGTCACAATAAAAGACCACTCTAAAATGTGCAGTTTGATGACACAACACATCGCCACAGTTGTCCTAAGTTTTGAGGGAGCCTGTCATTAGCATGCTGACTTACAGGAGTATCCACCAGAGGTGTCGCGCGTGAGTTTAATGTTCACTTCACTCCCATAAGGGCCGTTTCATAGTCGACGCAAAGGAACTCGTACGGGCACACCCCCATTTATATGACAGTTCTAGTGCCCTGCACTCTAATAAAATAGCAGTACTAGCTAGCTACAGCAGTACTAGCTAGCCGGAATGTACCGGTGACTCTGCCACCCCCTATTATGCGAGCGATGTATTGCATTTCAAGCGTCACCCGCGTCGCTTGCATTCAATGTGTTGACTATGAAAAGAAGTGTGTTGCTTGCGTCGCTTGCATCTCTTGCTCGCATTGCATGCATCGATTATGAAACGGCCCTAAGACGTCTCCAATGGCATTTCCCTGAACTTGGCAGTACATCCAACCAGCCTGACAACCACAGAAGTTGGTTACGATGACAAATTGCTGTCAGGTCAATTGTTGCATCAGCTGTTAGGGTGGCTGGTCTCGGACGATCTTGCAGGTAGGGACGCTGGATGTGGACTACGGTTGTGAGGCTGGATGGATGTACTGCCAAATTAGCAGAAACAACATTGGAGATGGTTTATGGCAGTGAAATGAATATTCAGTTCACAGGCAACAGCTCTGGTGCATCAGCATCTTGATGTGCCACACCTGTCAGTGTTTTAACAAATATTGTGCACAAAATTTAAGAGAAAATATCAAGTGCATAAAAAAAAAAGATCTTTAATTTAAACCAGTGAAAAATGGGTGCAAAGCCAAGAGTGTTACATTTGAATTTTGGTTCAGTATAATTTTCATAGTGTCTCATTAGTGATAGACTTTTAATAGTAGTTCCCCCCTTGACTCCATCTGCTGCTGTTGGTGTATATTGGATAAACTGGCCTTGGGATTAGAACAAAAAAGCAAAAGCAAAATCGTGTTAAAAAAGAAGTCTGACTGCGGGTTACACACTGTCAACATGACTTCATCAAGTCTGCCTTTGCCACTTGCAAAAGGTTGAACCCCCCTGGCCCTCTGCGCTGCATCAGTGTCACCACACACAAACACATAACCCAAGCGCGCACACATACACAGTGCATATATGCCACCCTCACTTTCACTCTCTTCAGGCCATGGCCTTGTGTTTGTTTACAACCCTTGAGGTCACAGTCTTTGACAAACATGTATGATTTTGAGATTTTACATTCATAGGTATCGATTACTGGTGTCTCCCGGTGTGGTAACCCACTAATCTTACAAGTCAAATCAACTGAAGTTATTCTGATCCTGTGGCGACAGATTTCAGCTCACGACTCTCCCTGAAGTGAGCCTGGTGATCTGGACTGGAAATGTTAAACTACAGCAGCACACAGCAGGGTCTCATAACCTTTCCTGTTCTTTGATGCTGTTTTGAAGTCCATAGATTATCATTAGCCCAGCAATTAGAGCGTCGGATGGGAGATATTAAAGCAGAGCAGTGAAGGCATGGTCATAAACGGTTAGCCTGAGGTGGACAGGTACAGCTATGTTAACATCTGACAGGACTTCACTGTCACAGTGTTACATGGAGGAAGACAGTTGTTTCTGTGCTTTCAAGGGCAGAGGAGTTTTCAGTGGCCTTCATCAGGGATTAGGGACACATGTTGAGACAGGAGCTGATGTTGCAAGTTCTTACTGCTGTATTGTTGTGGCTCAGTTAAGGTTTCCCACACAGAGGTACAGTAATACTCTATGACATTTTACACTGAAAAAACACAGTATGTTTTGCTGATCTTATATTAACATGGGACACTATTCAGCTTGTTTTAAAATCATAGTAATTATCAGGTGAGGTAGGTTTATCAGTCATAGACCAATTAGAGGGTTGCAATCACCCTTTATGGTGGTCATGGGCCTCTCTTTGGTGGATTTAACAGTGCATATTTAGCAGTACTTTAAAGGTCCAGTGTGAAGGAATTAGGGGGATATATCGGCGGAAATGGAATATAACATAATATATAATGGGGATGTGCATGATTAGTCGTCTAAATGATTAATCATCCGTCGGCACCAGAAATATTAGTCAGCTAAACCAATTAGTGTTTTATTCATGTACAAGGCTGCTTAACTGTCATGCAGCCGCCCGCCACTTGTGGGTGCTACAGAGCCGTCAGACAGCAGTCCCCCTCCCCACGGTAATGCTCGAGTAGACTGGAGTTTTAAAACAGCACGGTGGGAAATTGGAGAAATGTCCTCTCGCAAAACCAGCGCAGTTTGGCAGTTCTTTGATTGAGAAAATGAAAACAGGGTAGCATGTAGGCTGTGTCGGAAAAAACTGGCATATAATCACACAACTGGAGCAATGCAACAGTCAACAAGGAAATTAGTCGCCAGGAACATCCCTGATATATAGCTTTCATTCATGTGTAATCACCTGAAACTAAGAATCTTAGTGTTTTCATTACTTTAGAATAAACCATTCACTTCTACATAAGGAGCAGGTCCTCTTTCATAGAGTTCACCATATTGTTTCCACAGTAGCCCAGAATGGACAATACAAACACTGGCTCTAGATAGGACCATTCGCGGTTTTTGCATAATTGCATTGGCCACCGTAGTTCTCTGAAACACTTGGCCCATAGGAAAAGTATCAGTTGGTGGCAACCTTATTACTGGATGCTACCAAATCAGTACACGAGACGTTTAAGTAGATCAAAAAAACATCTTGCTAATCCAGCTAAAACATTAAAATGCTACTTATGTGTTTATGCATCAATAATATTAATTATAATAATATTAAGTACTCTCAAAAGGACAATTCTGCATGAGTTTACTTTTGATACACTTTCCTGTGAATTCCTCATGCTTAACTAGGCAATTTGAATCCAGCACCAGAATGGCGGACTCCGCCACTGCCAATTCAAATCAGCTTTACAGGGATTGAAATACACTGAATAGCTATTACATAAAAAAGGCATTAAATAGCACAGTGAATGGGGTTTCATCTCATGGAAATGTAAATTCTAACTTTCATTATATTTTATTGTTAATAATTCTTTACTTTTACTTAATTAACACTTTGAATGATGGAATTTTACGTCACAGTATTTTACAGCGCTACTTTTTCAAAGCGTTTGCACTGTATGTGTGTTCTCAAATTGGTGAAGACTTTTTTAATTCCTTATTTTTTGTTTATTTGAATGTGTTTCCTTAAGTGGTGGTTCTTTGGGCCACCATACTTCTTGTCCACTTCTTAATTTTTTCTCGATTACTGCACAAAAGCACTCACAATGTTTCAGGGTTCACCTGATTAGATACCATTTAAGGCAGCTAATGATGGGCTGATTCATTTGTCTCACCGTATGGTTCGTGCGTATGACACAGCAGTCCACTAGCATGCAGCATGATTAGAAGCAGGGCAGCGCCGCAGGGCGGGATAATCTCAGCAGCTGCAGTGCATAATGTGGACAGTGTGTCGTGCATGGCTCACCATAGCCTTAAGATACAGTTCACTGTACTAATCCAGAGTAAAGGTCATTTCTGCAGTCATGTAGTGGACGCAGGGAGCAAGCACAATGTTCTTCTCTGCATGATTATTTTCAGGGTTTTGTTTTTGCAAATGATTATTGTATCCAGTGAGTTTGATTTAATTTCCAGTTTTGCCAGGACTGTCCTTTTTGACCGGGCTCTCCTGACTTGTCGTGCTCTTTCTCACCTTCAGACATGAGCAGCCCATCTGGAGCCATGTTCTGGGGAGTTAAAGCTGAGCTGAGCACGAGTTGAAATTGCTTAGGGGCTGGAGAGGGGAGGGGACGTCTTCTGCAGTGTAGGGCTTCAGCTAAGCCTTGTCTCCGGCCTCTGAAGATTTCTCAACATCGCCTTGAGCTCTAAAGCCTCTGTTGTGGATGTGGGGCCTGTGCTCCAATTCCAGGTGCTTAGTTCCCAACCCGCTCTCTTGAAGTATTTCAGGTCCTCTGGGGGGTATTTTTGAGCTTGAGGACAAAATCAATAGACGCTTTTATTTTCGATGAGCAAAGACTCTCTTCATTGAGTGTCTCAAAAGCTTGCACTCTTTGGAAATAACCCATGAAAGGCATTAGTAATAGTCTCATTCAGCTGATGTGCTCATGGACCGCACGACGAGAACAAGTGCACCGTGGCCTCACTGGAAAACACAAAAAAGAGGCTAAAGAGGTATTTAAGACAAATCTGTATGCAATAGAGTCATGATTGTCTGTGCACAGGATGAATTTTAATTTGCTGGAGAATCGAAATTCAAGGCCCGTGGCTCTCCACCTCGTGAAACAAGACATCAAATATGTCCCTGCAGCTGGGGAGCTCGGAGCTGAAGGTGTCGACAGCCGTCAGACATCTCTGGTCCATTTCCTGCATATATTATCTGCCCCCCCCCCGGCCCGGCCCAGCCCCACCCCCACCCAGCCCTCTGTCTGCTTCTCTTGCTCCCCTTCTCTCTGCATGTGTGAGTGTATGCAGTTGGTCATTTGATGTCACCATAGTGAACCTGCCCTCAGCTATTGGCTCTGACTTTGAAAAGACCCCTCGTGGGCTGAGTCAAATATCTGGATTCATTCAGTTGCTGTGAATCTGATTTTAATCTTTATTTTTGCTTAAAAATAAAAGTTAATTTATGCCTGTTGATTTGGGGAATCTATTGGGTGCGATTATGATGAGATATTTCTGGACATTCACCACAATAATCTCCTAAACTCAAAGAAAGCGTGAGGCTGTAAAGGGATTTCATGATGCCCAAAAAGATTAAAATATTAATACATTTTAAACACTGACTCATCATAAGATTAGACGGGTTACACACAAATCCAAATCCCTTTTCTTAAAACAGAGGAATTAATAGATCTGCTTAGAATTCCCACAGGGAGAGGGGTGAATAAATTGTATGGTAAGCTTTTAATGTATTCCACCTATAGGAATACATACATAAATGTCTCTCCGTTAAGATTTATGAAAATAAATATGCACTCATTTGGCATTTTCAGGCTATGTATATATGCATGGGCATTCAAGTATACGATTGAGATTTTTTATTTTTTTAACATATAAATATTCAGTATTCTTTGCTGAATCATAATAAATATTTAGTGCATATGCTGAATAAAAATTGCGCAGACTTAAACTTTTACGCACAGGCTGCACCTGGTCCTCATGTCAAGGCAGTCAAACTGAAATGACTGACTTCCTGTTGCACATTAGAAAATAAAACCCTTGTTGACCATCTGGTTTTATGTCAGATCATAGGTGTAGATTTCAGGGTGACGCAGAGGACACGTCACTCTCAATATTTAGAACACATGCGCTATTTATTCGACAATTTGTGCTAGGTCTGGCACTGCTTGTATCTGGGTAGGTAAATCTATCACAATGCATCATATGTTATAAACTGATCGGTTTCAGAGTTAAATCTTAGATGTGATGGCCTGCTGACATCTGACTGCAAAGTCTCTGTCAGACGTGATCAGTGTGGAGCCTGAGCTTATTAAAAGTTACCTGCAGTTTTGGCTCTGACCTGCGCAGCTAACGGTGCATATTAAACACCGCAGTGTCGTTAAACAGTGCTGATGATATGCATATTCTTTTACATATTGTCTCTATGCATGAGCGCAACCCGCACTGTTTTAATTTGAAGGCCCTATATCCTATCTTCCGGTCTTATCCTCACTGCCTTTGACAGCTGGCTGCAGCTGGACGCCGCTGTCCGCGCGCACCTCTCCATCCAGCCAGGACGCGCTCCCGCTCCCCGGTCACAGCCGCTGCCCGGGGCTTGAAGCCACCAATTAGAGGAGCTGAACCCGAGAGATGCGCACTTAATTAACTTCATCTCTTTCCTTTTTGCCGTCCTCAAAGCCCCTCTGTCCTCCGTCACAATTCCCCTCCAGAGCGGCTCCGCGGGTTTTCTGTCATCCGTTCGTCCCCGAAGCGCGCGGAGGAAGTGGCCGGTGGTCTTCCTGGTGAGCGCCGTCGCGATGGTCCTGCTGGCTCTGGCCGTCGCCGTCCCGTTGCTGCTGCTCCGCACCTCTGAGACCTCCGCTCATTACTATGAGATGATGGGCACCTGTCGGATGGTGTGCGACCCGTACACCCCGAAACCGGGAAGCGCCACCGCCATGGAGGTGATCCAGAATGTGAATGGGGTAGCTCCGCATCCGCCGATGGCGCAGGGGAGCCGCGGGGAGCCAGGGCGACCGGGTAAACCGGGATCAAGGGGCCCACCGGGAGAACCAGGACCCCCAGGTCCGAGGGGACCACCGGGAGAGCGCGGCGACAGTAGACTCGCCTTCCCGGCAATAACCGGACTTGGTGGGGGTGAGAACGCTGAACCGGACGGTGTGAACTCCACGGGCAACAGTTACAGGATCGCTTTTTACGTGGGTCTGAAGAACCCGCATGAGGGATATGAGGTGTTAAAGTTTGACGACGTGATTACAAACTTGGGGAACCACTACGACGCGAGCACCGGGAAGTTCACCTGCCATGTGTCCGGGATCTATTTCTTCACCTACCATGTGTTGATGCGGGGAGGAGACGGCACCAGCATGTGGGCCGACCTGTGCAAAAACGGACAGGTAGGAGCAGAGATTAACATGGTGCCCCGATCCCAAAACGGCTTTACTTGAGGGGAAACCAGTCCAATTAATAAAACAACCAAATATTATAGTATTATGACAACATCGCAGCATTACATCCCAAATTGAATAAAAATCTGAATTTTACGCACGAAAAAGCGCACAAAATCGCACAAGTTATTCTCCTTAACACGATTTATATAACTGTCTGTTCCTACTATTTACATGTGATGATTCCAGGGCAACATCTGTGATATTTTTAGTCATATCTGAGCATGTGTGCATACTCAGTTTGTGTGTGTAAACCCTGTTTGGATTCGTGTTTCCTCCCAGATGCCAACAGCTCCATGGAGCAGCTGGATGAGGGGTCAGATATGTGTCTCACCATTATCAGTGTTCATTAAAGATGCTGCAAAGGGACTCAAATTTGGATAAGTGTCTGGGTCAGAATGTATTTTTTATTACTGATCTTAAATAATTAGTGGTGGGTTTAACCTCTAATTCACCTTCTGAGTGTCTATTTTTAAAGCTGCACCACTGCTCACTGTGCCTCTCAGGCACACATGAACTTTTCTGCTTCTATATATTCTGCTTCTAACGCTTATCACAGGAAGTCTCGTCCCCTTTCCCCCCCAGGTACGAGCCAGTGCCATAGCTCAAGACGCAGACCAGAACTACGACTACGCCAGCAACAGCGCCGTGCTGCACTTAGACTCTGGAGACGAGATCTATGTCAAACTGGACGGCGGCAAAGCTCACGGAGGCAACAACAACAAGTACAGCACCTTCTCCGGCTTCATCTTATACCCCGATTAAACCACACGGCAGCAGCTCCATGGACAGTGATCACAGCTGAAAACTGTTTCCATTAAAGTGTACGGTCCAATATGTTTCTCCTCTTTTGAAGATAGGTGCCACAACACACAGGCTTATCTGTATGTTCTATTCGTTTAGTGAGGGACCCTTTGTGTGTTTGGTTTCACTTAAGTTCAGATGCTCTACTGTCATCAGAGTATCTTACAACTGCAGACCTACAATAACACCCCATGTATGCTCTGAGCTGAGAAAGTCGTGCTTCCTAAGTTTACTAAATTGCTTTGGGGAAATGAGCTCCAGTAAAGGTCTTACTGGCTGCTCACTGTGTGTGTGTTAACAGTATCTAATATTTCAGACTGACATGATGAAAGAAATCCATTAAAATCGAGAGATAAACTTAAAGTCAGAGCAGCTGTTTTCAGAGTACACCTTGGCCAGCAGTGTTTGGACCTAAGGCCCGGTCACACCAGTTCATTTCAATGGAATCACCATGATGAGTTGATTCTCTTGTGGGGAAAATACAAATATTTTAAAGATATTTTAACCTTTGTGAACTATGACTCAGTGGAAATCTCAGAGTTCACGAGTTGTGACGTGTTTGCTGACATTTTCAGAAATAGCAGAGGTCATGAAAGTCCATTTTTCAGTGGATGGTTAGATAATATATTGTAACGTTAGTCATATATTGTTTTTCTTTGTAATTTTATATGTCTGAGGAAAATGTTGGCATTCTCAGCGGCCGCATCTTTTTCCTATTTCATTATGTCTCGGCATTTCCTGCTTGATGTTACTTGCTTGCTAGTTTGCTAAACCTCGGTGGCTTCTAGATGCCATTGCCTTCCCATGTTGTAACCATGAGCTCACAAGTTCTATTTGAAGGCAGCAAGAGAGCTAAAGAGTCCAACATGGAGGACGCTACGGTAGCTTAGCTGTGTTGCACCGTCCACCTATACTATGCTCTATGGACCCACCCAATCAGAAGACAGTCAAACTCTTTTGGCTTTATGTGCAACTGAGCAACTTTCATCGGAGTGAACAGGGCATCTCCAGTTCTATTTATACATCCACGAGTTGTGCAGATCAAACACTCTCTGGTGTGACCAGGCCTTTATTTGGTAACTAAACTACCGACATTCTGAGCCACATGATTTTAAAAAAGCCCGATCTCCAGTTATATTTCTTTCTTTTCTTTTTTGCTCCAAAGCAGAACGAGCAACAACTCAAACAGACATACTGTAGCCAATGTCTTTCTCCCCATGATTCACCTGCCACACACCTGAACTGGATAAGCCAGGCCTGTTTCAGATGATATGATCAGTTGGTGCGATGACGTCAGTGGAACACATTAGATAAGATGCAAACAATCTAGGCCATCTTGATTGCTATAGCTATAGCAAAACCGTGGTGCTTTGAGTCGTGTTCAGTGTTTCACTCAATAACCCAATAGCCGCACATGAGAGACACAAACGGAAGTGTTGCATCAATATTGTATCAGTTATATTTTGTTGTCATATATGCAAATAAATATTGTTTGACAAAAAAAGTTTGTGTGAAAAGTGAATCCAAGTGGAAGCAATGGATTGTTGTGTAATCTAATGTCAGAGCTGCATGTTTCTGCGAGCAATTTGTCTGTTTGTATTTTGCTCCTCAGGATCAGACTCTGGCAAGAGAGTGTCAAGTGCATGCCGCCTCACAGGGTCCTGGAGCATCCCTGGAAGTCCTTTGCTTTGCTGTAGCTTGCAGACTTTTTCGTCAGTGAGCCTCATTCTGGGCTGGTTTGTACTGAAATCACATTTTTATCAGATCAAGTATGTCACATTCTGTTTATTCCAGTCTATGGCAAATTCTACTTGTTGCAAATGTCCATCAACAAATCACTGGTGTATTAGTTGATCAACAGTAACTGATTTTCTTTGTCATATTTTGTTTTTGACAGTTGATCAGACAAAACCAGCAACTCAGAGATGTCACCCTGGGCTCTGAGAGATTGTGAGGGGCATTTTTTCCACTTGTTTTTGACATGTCAGGGGCTAAAAATAGATGTATTGAAATTCAAACTGATGGAAAAGCAAAACAGTTTATAGCTGCATTGCTAGTCCTATGTTATTCAGAGGCAGTGCTGTGTAAGAGACTACATTTAATAAGCAAACATTAATTACTATTATAACTATATGTTTCTATTTTGAAGGAGAGCTTAGTGGCACAGAACATGAATACATCCTCTGCGTCTCCTCAGATATTCTCAGGTATAAATGTGGGGAGAAGCCTGTGGCTGCCGGCTCCTGTGTTTCACTTCTGATTAACTTGTATTAAGATTTGCAAATGCTCTCGCAGACTCAGATATGGCTGTAAGCCTTCATTAAGATGATGGCTGTTTTGTTTAATTTATTATTTCTTTTTATCCCATCCCCTCAGAAACACACAGACACACGCACACACACACACACAAACAGCTGTTTACACACCACCCCTGTCAATTTAAATAGAAATCATGGAAAACAAATATTAGGTGTCTGGTTAGATAAACTTCTATTAAGGTGTTGGCTTATTCTCCCGCACTCTACAAACTAACTGTCCTCCTCAGAGGGGATTGTGTTGTTCTTGAGCTGCTCGGCGAAAAAAAAAAGGTGGATTGTTGTTTCTACGGCTGATGAAAATGGTACAGTTTGTGATTCATTAGTCTTGGATAGTATGGTTTTGGTTTAGTTTCTATATTCGCTACAAAGGAGGCAGTGAATGCCACATTCATGAAGAATAAGCCAGGATGAAATTAGGGCGTCCACAAGTGTTAACACGTTAAATTGAAGACTTTTGACGACATTTCTCACACTTCAAATGGAATTTAAGACCAGATGATGGAAATACTCTCAAAAACTCTAATGCAGTTGTTTTAGATTTCCTTCATTTTCAGGCTGGATTTTGTGGATTTGGAGCTAAATGTTGTGCCTGGAGCACGTCATGTATTAATGATACTCATTACCTGGAGAGGTTGGAAAAAGATATACGTTTCTTCCCTGTCCCTGAGATATAGCCTACTGAATGTATACACATGCTGCTTTTGCTTTTTAATGATTATAACAGTGAAACAAAGACCGACCCTGCTGTACAGGAACCAGTGAAGGGAAGCAGGGAAACTCTGCTGATATTCAACCAGCTCTGTGTCATCACTTTGTGCAAAGATTAAAGGTGTTTGGCTTCCCCCATCTGCACACACTGCGATGCCACACAGCTGGTTCAATATCAGCAAAGTTTCCCTTTATATTCATTGTCTTGTGTGGCGATTAGCAGTGATGTGGTGATTCACTTTTACACTGTGATCTGTAGCCTATAGTTCGGCTTTAGCTTCTAACTATCTTTGTCTTTTTAACCTGTTGTTGCTGCTGAGTCAGTTTGACATCCTGGATATATCCTTCAAACACTGTAGACTGTAGACCCCTCTGTCTGCTTCTCTCTGGAATCACTGTTTAATTTTTCCCAAAAATATGATAATATTTCTTCAGGGAGTGCAGTTAGTTACAGTGTGGGCTCCACGCTTACTCCATCCGCTTGTCAGACCATCACAAAGGGGCGGGGCTTAACAGAGGGTCAATGCTGACTAAGTACATTAACACAAGTACTGAACGAGGACAAATTTACTTGAGTATGAGTGTGGGCTCCATGCTTACTCTGAAAGTTTGTTCCCCTGTCAAACCATGACCATTTGATAAGATGTAACACCACTTTTGCATCACTTTTTTGTGCATTTATCAGAAGCAAGAATAACAGGAATAAAGCTGGCACTGATTTTGTTTTCAGTCACATCCCACGCATCCTTATTGTCTACACTTACTAAAGTGGCAGTAAATTTATTCATTTATTTTTTTTGATAACCCTTATCTATCTGATACAGTTCAGGTTTTATTTGCCTCCATTTCCACCAGTTTCCTCATATTTCATCGCTAATTATACATTATAAATATATTAGATTGTTGTTATCTCACATAAATATAAATAAAAAGCACACCTGTTCTTGCAGAATAACATCACTAAGTATGTGAGGACATTCTTTCATGAATGAACAACGGGAGGTATGTTGGAAACACTGAGCCCTTTTTTGATCGCGTAGTGACAAGTGCAAACTGATATGTCTGGGTGGATGTCTCCAAGCACACCTGCTATTTTGGGTCATGTATGCCGCAGCAGCACAAAGTGCAAAAGGGCTGGGTGAAGTGGAATATCGCTCGGGGGGTGTGGTGATTAATAAATACATTCTCAGTCCGTCACATCACTGGTCTCATCGCTCTGTGAGCCAATCAGTGAGGCATGATGAACACAGCTGAACCTGCAGCCATGTCGTCAGTGGTCACATCATCGTGTCAAGAAGATGGTCAAGATAAGATAAACAGGTTTAATTCACTTCCTGTTAGAGATGATCACTGTTCGGGGAGGTTTTGAAAATGGGAGCCGGAGTGATGATGTCACCAGCAGACTTTTTAAACTGTGTAAAGATCAAAGCATTGTGGTCTTGTAAAGGCTCTCGGCTCCCGCTGCAGACACATTTAGGATGAAAAGTGGGGCTGCTGACACCAACTGAGACATCAACAGCAGTGCATGTCACCAGCTGCCAGACGGATGCTCTCACACACACAAACACACACACACAAACACACACAACAACACGATAGATGATCATCCGTCCCCCTGGTCTGTGTGACAGTGAGGGATTGTTGACTGACAGACAGAGTAGTGAAATTCTCTGATGGATGTGATAAGTGGGACAAGGCCTCACACACACACACACACACACACACACACAGTGTTCAGGGGAATGCAGCTTGACAGGCAGCTGAGCAACAGGCATCATACTGGAGTACTAATAGCATGTGTCGCCATATCTTATGTGTGTGTGTGTGTGTGTGTGTGTGTGTGTGTGTGTGTGTGAGGCCTTGCCGCTGTAATTACAGTAAACTATGATCTTTCTAATTAAACCCTATTAATCTGGAGTCTAATCTAATTATGCCCTGCTGCCCAAACGTGTGTCTCCAGCAATAAAAAGCAGCCTGCTGCCTCGGTTGATTCCAGCGAGCGCCTGATTGCCGAATCGACATGAAAAATTGCAGCCGACAAGCTCTCTGCACAGGCAGCCAATCATCGGGACATTTTTAAAACCTCTCCTCATTCTTTCACTCCGCTGATTTCCTCCCCGCGATGATTGATCCATGAGTAACGCTCATGCCTGAGATGCAAATGCCAGGGTGGCATGAGCGAAATATAAAGAGGGACATCTGAAGGGCCCCGCAGAGAGGGGTGAAAGCCGAATCTGACACCTAAAAACCTTCTGCTTATCTCCCGCTTTTGTTTGTTGTCTAAGTCTCATTCAAGCTGGTGTGCTCGCAAAGCACACAGCTGGGAGAGGAGAACGTCCTCACTGGAAAATAAAAGAAAGGAGGTAAAACTGGAGAGGAGGTGCATTAAAGATGTGACTGTGTGTGGTGGAACAATGGCTGTCTGACTGTCTGGTAGATTAAACTCTATTTGATCATTTATATATATAAGGAATGTATTGAAGTTTGGAATATTGTATTTTTCTTGTTGCCGTGAGGAGGGCAGTCTAAGTTTCTGGGAATACTTGCAACATGTTAATGCACAATAATGAACAAATAATATAATATAACACTGACAGAAGGGGATTCTGCATCAGGAATAGGGCTGTCACAATCACTGTTTTTGTTGGACGATTTATTGCCCCAGAAATAATTGCAATAAACAATATTATTGTCATTTTGGGACCATTTTATGCTGCTGATATAATGTTAATATAATAGCATAATAATGCATGAATGCCCTTGCAAGAATATTCATATTCAAAATTTGGATATTAAGACTAAATACAAAATTGGGCCAAATAAAACAAAACCAAGTGATGCCTCTTGCGACTAACGGACACTCCAGGAACACTGCAGTTACCTCCATGATCTGGTCAGTGTGCTGCAGTCGGCTCCCGGGGATGGACAACCTGGGAGCAGGGCAGTTTACTGGTAGAGGATGTGGATCACGGAGTAGAGGATAACATTGTTGGAGGGTAAAACTTCAAACAATGACACATTTTGGCTGGTTGTGAGGGGTTGGCAAGCCAACAACTATCAGGACTGCCTTTTACACTCCAAAAGTGCAGCTGCAGGCTACTGGTGGGCTACACTGTGTCGTCTTTGAAGTGTTTTTCTTTGGACTTGTCCAAATAGGTGGAGATGTAGAAGAAACAAGGAATAATTGCTGCACCCTAGTCTTAAGCCGAGTTCACATTCCATGATTTTCACCCTGATTTTGTGTCGTGGAGACAATCGTAATCTTTTGAGTGTTCATACCTGGCGACGTGTGTTTCTGTCAGCGGGAGTCTCACCAACTGCATTACGACCTGTGTGTGCAAACTACAAGATTTCTCCACCGAGCCCTCGCCGACAGAGCCCCAGATAATGCAGCGACATCACAAAACT